GAGACCTTTAATCTCTCCAAGTCTCTCTTCCCTGAGGCAACCGACCATCCCAGACCCTTCTCTTCCTCCCTATCTCAAGTCTTTCACTGTACAGAAAAACTAGGAATTAAGCGACTAAAACTAGCAAGAGATAATGCATTGTGAAAAACTTCCATGACCTCTGCATCAGCTTGAAAAGTTGTAGTTAAATAGTTTCAAAACTTCTAAGAAATATTCTTTCCCCATATGCTTTGATTCAGCTCCTGGGTGGGGAATGAGCTACAAAACATGCAAGTTTCAAAAGAGACTTCTTTTCTCTAGAAATATGGTTTTGAAAAGGGGAAGAATCCATCAGGTCTTGTAATATACTTTCATTTGTACTCTGCTTTCAAACTCTGCCTTTTTTAAGGGAATTTTTAAATTTAGAGATTTAACCAGTTACTTACAATTCACAGTGTGCTTTATTTACAAAATATAGGAATATTTAGAAAATGAAAAGTGCATTTTCAGAGCGAATTGCTTCAGATTAACTCTTGTGAAATTCAATTCTGTGGATAAAAGAAAAATACATTATTATTATTATTATTATTACTACTACTACTACTACTACTACTAATAATAATAATAACAACAAAAGTAATTAATAAAACTCTATTTGACCTGAAATGACTTTTGGAGTAATTTCTGAAGTGAGTTTCTTTTCCACTCTATAATTGAGACCAATTTTTTTTTTTTTAACACAGCAAATAAAAAAAAGTAACTGAAAAAAAGTAACTGAAATTTTTGAAGGAAGCTCATCTCACTCCAACATTCCAAAATCTCCAAAATGAATCTGATTCAAAACAATCACTCAACCAATTCACAACAAAATTAAGACTCCCAAAGAGGCGCAGATGTGAAAACTTGAATTCTCCCTATTGTATGATTTTCTCGGAGCAAAGTCCCAAGAAGCAGTGGAGCCAAATGAACTGGCTGCTGCTGCCAAAGAGGGTTTTGTTCCTGCTCACGCCTCCCTCCCTCCCTCCCTCCCTCTTCCCACTCCACCCTTGACTTCACAAGCCAGGCATGAGCCTTGCTGCCTACTCAGCCTGTGCCCAAAAGTTTCAGCTCACTAACAGTGCAAGAATAACCCCAATTTTATTCATGGGTTAGAGAGTTGTATCAGGCCACAGAAGAGCCCAGTTAGCAAAAAAATCCTACATGCAACTGTGGGGTCAGGAGCTGTGGGGGAAAGAGAGCTGCTTGCTGCAGGAGGGACAGGCTGTTAAACCAGCCCAAAGCATGCCCACAGAGATTCACTTTCATTCAGAGATTAAGGAAATCCAGCTAAATATGCTTTCATTTGCTCTGTCCACCACTTTATGGTGGTTACCATGACTTAAGCACCACACTAACTGAAGGATTTTTCAGTAAAATGCAAAGTCTTTCAAATGAAATCCTGACTCTTCAACATCTACATTGTAGATTTATCACAACAAAAATAATAGTAAAATAAAGCCTTAGAAATGTGTTTAGAATATCTGTATTTATGGTATCAGATGACTAAGGAATAATGCAGACTTTAAATATTAGCTGCTGTGACTTAATTCATATGCAGACACTCATATATTATTGTCACTTAAAATTATAACATCAGAAAGTAAATATATATTTTAGAATATATATTTTAATGAATATATAAAAACTGAAACGCAAAAGTATTTAAATCTCATCTAAAACATTTTTACATGCCTTGTCTATTTTAAGGGCTGTTGTTTAATAACAATGCTCCATTAAAATCTGGGTTCTTAAGTTCTGAGAATAATCATAAAGACCTGAAAATAAGGACTCAAAATTTCTTGTATTAGAATTTGTAAAAATTTTATTTTTATGAATATGAAATCAACTAAAACTAAGAAGCTCTTATATTCCCAAAAGGTGAACAGTGTAAGACACTAATTTTCATTGACAGGAGCCCCCGTGTCAGCCTGAGCACTTTGTGGACAGCAGAGCTTATTGATACAGAGATGCTACAGGCTCACCCAAGGACTCCGTGAAGGTGCATCCTGCTGTCCCTCCCTCCACAGCACTGGGACACTCCTGAAACTCCTGTTTACTTGGACACCTAAGGACAGGAGCTATGTCCTCATTACATGCTTCAGCATGCCTACAAATTTAAAAGATGCAGTATTTACTTTTGGACATTTTATTCTATAATTATACTGAGAGATAAAGAAAAAAACTCATGAAAAGTCTGCATTAGAAACACATACAGGTATTTTAGAATTACATATTTGTCCTACACTTACGTGCATTCTAATGTTTATACTGAACAAAATAAAAGAATTCATGCTAAAAGCTGATATACTGAAATAAATTCTCCAGACTTTGACTGCTTTGCTTATTTTCAACAACACATTAATTTCTACTTATACGTGTAATGTGCATTCTTGCAGTGTTTGGTTAACACCCCACTCAAAATATTTTTTTTTGTTTTAAGAAGAGTGCACTATAAAGCAGGAGTTTTAACCAAAACTGAGAACCCAGATCAAAAGCAACTGCACAGGTTACAGGCAACCTATGAGGTCTGAAGGTGGAGAGAACAGAGAGATTAATCCACCATCCAAATATCAAATTTTAACTTGAATCAATGTCAGTTTATAACTTTGAAATAGTCACCAGTTTTTCAGCAGAAGAAAAACTCAAGCTAAACCACAATTGGTGAGATCTCTGGCAGGCAAAGACCTCAGTTTCCTAAACCTTCTGCAAGTGCTGGTCACATCCAGGGAGGCACCACAAGAACTTCACTGACAAAAACGGAAGATTAAAGAAACCACGAAAGCAGCCACAGCAGTGAGGTCCCTGCACTGTGGGGGGGTGGAGCAGCCCATAAACATCCCCTCCAGATGTGAGCCAATCTGCTGCTTAAAAGCCTACAAGAAATGAGTTTTCACATCATCATTGTGTGCCTGTTGGAATGCTTTTAATCTTAATATTTAACAAAAATATTTTTTCTTGTGAATAAAGCTAATGCCTCCATTCCCAAAGGAAATATAACAACTGATAAACATTTTCTGTTGTAGCAATATTTTAGGTATGTGAAGGGCAAGTTCCTCCCTCAGACTTCATTTATTCTAGACCAGGAAGACTCAGTTCCATTTATGTATTTTCTCATATGCAATGTTACCTCGTTTCCATCTGCCCACTTATTTCTTAAAAAATATTTTGCCCCAAATCACTGTCATAGAATAATTACTTTCACAACTTATATTGAAAAATTCCTGTTAATCCTTAAGTGGCTTTTACTTTGCAATAGTATCAAACTGCTCACCTCTGTGCAAGCAGATACTTTTTTTTTCACTGCACCATACTAGATGCCGAGGATGGCTTGCTTTCATGCACCTCCTTTTCCCTGGAGCTCAGTATTTCACATTCATTCCTTCTGAATTTGTTTGCTTTTTTTGAATCACATGTGCCATCTGCCAAATTATTCTGATTTCTGAGCACACTCACCAGTTTTTGAACATAGCCTGTCCATTTTGCACCACCTGCAGACCTCAAACTTTGTATTCCATCAAATACACTAATGGATATTCTGAACCAGGAACATGATGCAACCTCAGAAACTGCATTAGAAAAAGTTTTTTCAGATTCTCCTTCTCCCTCTCCTACCTTCCAATTTTCTGTTCACCATATTGTCTCAGCATGTATTTAATAGTTCACTTAGTCATACAGCAAAACCTCTGATGGCAGAATTCCTGTGCTACAGCTCTGCCTCAGTTCTGTGCCTGTATCACTGAACAATAAGTTTTCTCTCAGCCTAAGAGTGTAAATCCACATCTCTGAAAGTAGAAACTACACCAGTCTAAATTATCCATGACCTCATTTTTAAAACATAAACGCATCTGCCTTCAATCTCCCAAACAATGCCAGCTTTCATTGCTTATTAGCCCAGATCTCCCACAAACACCCCTGGCACTGTTACAGCACTGCTTAGCCAAGGGAAAAACACCTCAGAATATTTCCTTTGAGCCATGACTCGCTGTCTCACAAGGAGTGCTGAGCTGAGCTGCACCCACGGTGAGTACCCAAAACACGCTCAGCACCTCATCCAGCCCATGTTTAGGTGCTCCTCTTGCACCTTTAGCTCACCTAAGCTCCAAGAGCTCCCAGTTACTGCTAAAAGGAAACCCAGGTGGGTTTTTTTTGCAAAGCAGCAGATCAGGAGAGGCTGCAGGGTTGCCCAGGGCTGTTGCGTCTGAATCCAGCCCAAACTGGTTCCAAGGGCAACGATTAGCACAACTATCCATACAGTATTAAAAGAATGTGGTGTTTGAATAACAAAGTAAGTACATGCATATTACAAAACACCTGAGCCTATCATCTTTCTAGTCTGCAGATAACTTTTTATTCCAAGAACTACAGGATTCACCAGCAGGTATAGAATATAAAAGTATTTATTAACTTTCATGAAACAGAATATGGCTTAAAAAAAGTCCTATGGGGTCCCTCTTGAACTTTCTCTCTTTGCTCTAAGAAGGAGAATCAGTCTCTCATGAAAATTTGTGAAAATTCATAAAAAAAAATATTTAACCCAAATACAACTATCTTACAAAACGCTATGTGAACTCTGGGCAACAGAAGCTAACTAGTATATGGAAATAAAATACTGCCTCTACACATATAAAGAAATGAACTAAAAAGTGGCAGAGATTATTTATCTCTATTATTAAAACTTTTTTAAAATTATGTTTTTAAATAAAACACTTCCTAAGTGTAAATATTACACTGCATAAAACACAGCTAAAGAAATTTAAATGCATCCATCATTTCAAGTCCCAGACCTAGTTTAATCTACTGATATATTTCTCCTGTGGATTCATGAGCTGATCTTGCTTTCAAACAAACCATCCATTAGGAGGAAATACATATTTTTCAATATTTTAATTTTTAAACTTTTCAGAATTTTTTAAAATTTTAGCAAGCATCTTTCAAAAGCATATTCCAATGTAAGCTTGAAGAAAAAATTCTGCCTCTGTCAAAATAATTCGCAAACTTTATTGGATTTTTAAAAGCCTGATTACAGGACAAAACATGCATTATGCGTTTTGCTAAAATTCCAAAAACAATTGCAGAATTTATTCATATTAAAAGGTTCATATCCATAATAAATACCACCAGCTTAAAAGCAGGCTGGAATTTTTCAAGAGTTTTAGTATCTGAAAAATGCAAATGCTCTACATACTGTTGTTCTTTTAGAAGTCTGACATTATGTTGCAATGGTTAAAGCAAGAAACAGGTCAGCTGAAGACTAAAGAAAATCCCTGTCTTTTGAGGAGATCTACACTTAGTTATACAATACTACTCTGGAAACAGTCTGTCACCAAAGGCTTGGCAATTGGCTTCTGCTTAAAACATACTCTGCCTCTAATGTTCTTCAAAGGTTTAAACCATAATTGATTCTGGCAATACACATGGTAAGCGTGATGTGCAGGGGGTTGCCAGTGGACATGGGGCCCTTACATAAAGGGCTGTTTTCTTTGTTTAAAATGGAAAAAAGAGTGGGAGGTGTGGAGAACAGTGAAATACAAAATGAGTCAGAATCATAAACCATATTTTTTGAATCAGATTTCAACAACCACACATGCAAAAAGAAGGCTTCAAAGGTGGCAGAGCTTCTGAATTGCTATGACAATTCACATATTCTTAGTTCCATAAAAAAAGATAGAAGCTATAGTTATGTACATCCTTCTAAGCACTCCAAGAGTAGTCCAAGTTGAACTCCAGAGAAGTCATCAGTATCAGTCTGAAAGTGATGGGGAACGGATTGATCGTGCACTGGCTGGACTGTTAGAGAAAACAAAGGGATCCTTTTCCTTTTCTTTAGTATCATGTTTATGTTTATGCTTATGCTTATGCTTGTGTTTCTTCTTCTTTTTCTTGTGCTCATGGTGGTGATGGTGATGGTGATCGCTGTGTTTCGAGGAGTTTGATTCTTTGCTAAACACAGAGAGCGGAGCTGCTGAGACAGGGTGCATGTTTATCTCTCCTGAAGATTGTTCCTTACCTGAAAGAAGGGATATGGTGGGATTAGCAAATGTTTAACTTGCATTGTTTCCAAACATAAGGAATTCTGAAATATCAGATAAAGCCTACATCATTTAAATGTAAAACCATGGAACCTGTTACAATGCTTGTGCCATTTAGCTTCAGAGAAGGCTTTGAACATGCCAATAAAGTTCCCACACTACTGACAATTTTTAGAGATGGTCCTTCCTTCCTCAACAGCACAGAAGTGTCCCAGACAATCAGGAACTGTAAAGAGCCCTGAGAAACTTTAAGTCATACTAGCTTCATGAAATTAATTTTTAAATAGAGTAGGAAGGCCACTGTACCCTGAATAATGCAAATACAACTGCTTGTGAAAATTCTGATACAAAGTGCAAGACTGGCATAATAAGGTGCATTTTTGGGATGTGAACTCCTTCGAGTTGGCAGGTAAAGCTCCCCGCAAGAACATACAAACCTTTTGATAGTGGAAAACTAAACTGATTTTTCTAAAAATTGCCTCTTGCAACCAATTTAGCCTATTTGAAAGATTATACAAGGTTTCTTTTCCTAAACAAAACCAAATCCCAATAAAGACAATTATACCATCTTTATCAGGATGTATTTCTCAAGTACACTAGAACGAGTTACATATTGAGCAAGCCTGGTATCTGAACCTGAGGAAGGAGATATGATCCATGACATCTCAATTCAGGAATGACTTTCTCATTCCCTCTTTGGCTAATTTAATATTTCATTATTTCAGACAGACTGCAATAGCTTCAGTAGTAGAGATTAACAGGCATTATTCTAGGGATACCTTTGTTGAAGAGTGGAAACACTTGGAAGGTAGGAACATTCAGATTCTTTTAGGCAGAAATTGAATCAAATCACTCACACTGCAAGGATGCTTTAACAATTACATAAATGTAGAAAACCACCAGATTTTTGAAGGCAACAAATCCTCTAAGTATTACTTAAAATGGAGTTTCTTCATTGCTACTTTAAATATGGAGGTTTCGCCCATTTAGTTTTTGGTAAAAATATCCCAACTAATTAACAAAAATGATATTATTTGTTCCTGTGCAATTATCTTTTTCTGTATATTTGAAAACAGATTTATTTCCCAGTACATCTTTTTGTTGGTTGCTTGTGTAGCTCTAAAGGCAAGAATGATTTGTCTATGGTAATGACTCCTGGAAGTCTAAAGAGACAGTTCCCTGTACTATGAGTATGACAAGCAAGTATTGAGAACAATTTCCATGCAATCTTTTCAGCCTCACCTGAAAGACTGAGGACTGATTAAATCATGCATATATATAGGAAAATTTCTAGATTTTCCTATATACATGCACACATACACGTACAGCTGTTCTGGGTTTTGTTTGTTTATAAATACGTCTGTAAAAAACAAAATCTACATCTGTATGAAGTGTTTAGAAGTCAGAATAGAAACAGAGGTTTTTTTTTGTGAGGATAGTCAATAACTTAATATGGGACATGGTAGAATTTCTACTGTTTGAAGTCTTAAGCAGCAAAATGATGTCTTTCTAGAAATATGTTTGGTCTTAACCACAAGACAGGAATATGGTGCAATATAAAATTCTGTTGAGGTCATGAAGGAAGCTAGTCTGAAGTACAATAGTTTCCTATAAACTTGAAATATATATCTCTAATATAAAACTATTTTAAAAGGCTTTAATTTTTATTTAATCAGAACTAAGCAGCAGTAAGCTCATGTTACCAATGCAAAAATTTATTGTTAGAACTCACAACTTTACTTTTTTATTTATCTTATGGCAGGTAGGAGATGCACACCAATTCCGATTTTCACTTGCTGACTTCAATGTGTACCTACTACCATTTTTTTTACATTGTTGTCTGGAGCTATTCTCAACAACGAAGACAGTGTGCAAGTATATTGCATTTGATGCAAAAATGCTTTACTATGTAACTATTTCCAGTTATATTTTTAAAAGGAATTCTTACCATATCTAAATCTATCCCCATAACCTGAGCTCCCTCTAAAGCATTCACTGTTTGACCACTTTATTTAGCAGCTGCAAGGATACAAAACCAGGCATTAAACAGATGACACAATCGTGAAAAAAGGAGCATATCTGGCTCAGGCCATTAGAAAAGGAAAGGGTGGAGGCTGTATCTCAGAAAATCAAAGCAGGCAGTATTTGATGCTGTTAAAATAGGCTGCAGTAGTTACAGGTGAACTGTGGCAGTGACATAACAGAGCTCCTAGAAACACAGAAATAAAGGTCTTGGCAAAAAGCCTGAAGACCACTGGTTGGTTGTACAGAAACTGTACAAAAGATGACCTAAAGTACTGAAGACACTCTCATGTGTTCTCAAGCTACAGACACATGATACATTAAAATATATATAGCAAACTCAAGTCAACTTAAAATAGAAGAAAACACCCACACAACATGACACAAACTCTGAAAACTTCTAAGCTCCATTAATCCCAAATTGCGGAGTTATTTTTATATGGAAACTAAACCTGTAAGTCTAGACACTACATTTGTAACAACCTCAAACTGAAACTAAGCCTCTGAACTTAAAAAAAAAAATTAGCCAGAACTGGTAAAAAAGACTGGTTAAAGTCAGCAGGGATGATGTAGCGGTAGTGTCAAGTGAAGATGGAGGACGCAACCAAACAGACTCTGCTGACTCTGTTACATGACCTGCCACTTGTGCTAATTTCCTGCAGTTTACTGAACTACCAGCTCTGCTAAGGCAACAGTCTGTATTATCACCTCCTTACTTATTTCAGCTGTGTTATTGAAAAAATCTGTTTGTTAAAGCACTTAAACACCATTGACTGGGGTAAGTTAGGGAGCAAATACAACAGTAGTTGAAACCAACAGGACCAAAGGGGTGGTGGTGACCACCTAGAGAGGCAGAAGGTCTTCAGGAAAGGGAGAAATGGGATCCAACTGCAACTCAAGAGTTACTGACACTTAAGGAGGCAGTAAACATTGGTAATATGGAGAAGACCTCAGTAAGAAATGAAAGAATGACATTACAAAAAATCTGCTTCTACTGAGCCAGCAATAGGAGTACACACACCATTTCTTCATAGAGTCACACCGTTGACTCTAGGCTCTTGGGTTTTTGAATGCAAAAATAAAAGCTATCCAGAAAATTTCCTCCTACTGTTAAAGAGTGCTTTGAAATCAAAAATCAAATATATTGATCCTGCATGATGACTCCAAAAGACTGATCGCAAACTACTGAACTCAGTTGTGTGCCAAAATGGACAGAGCTACAAAAGCTCGATCAAAAATGTTACAGATGCATAAAATTCAGTGTTGAACCTACAGAACCTTTTTCTTCTTCCTTTTAATTTAAGTAAGCCTATGCCAGGAACATGGCAAGTGTAGTTAAGGAAAATAAGGCTAAATAGAAATTGCCTCACAGGGCAGTATAATCATCCTTTTATCAACAGGGGAAGCAAGACTGATGCGAAGAGGAACAGAGCACTCCCTCTTCCTGCAAGGAACCCACTTCTTCCTGGCACAGAGAGCAGGACTGAAACTCGGGTTTCACAAAACACAGAAACACACAATAAGTGGAGGGCCAACCCAGGAGCTGCTTCTGAAGTGGTTAGTAGCATTCCTTGGAAGAAAATGTGCATACATGTTTCTATCCACATGGATCTCCTCCTGTTTAGGATGTGGAGATTCCAATGTAATTGTTGGCTTTGTGGTGTTCCAGCTAGCTGGGTAGGTGCTTAAAATTAGACAGGATTATGGTCCCACGGGGGAAAGATCAGAATATTTGTGTACCATTTGCCCCAGGGACAAATAAAAATGCTGTAGGTGTTGTGAGAGAGAATAAAATATCAAAACATAGATCTTGTAGCTTAGTTTCAAAATTAAAGGGATTTGGATCCTGATAAGCTTTAAAGTAACATTTGCTGTCATAACAGAAATTGCTGTCAGATAATTCTAACACCCTGTTCACTTAAGTTTTAGTGCTCATTGGTGCATTAATATTGAACTATATTGTTGGGTAGTGTTTCACCTATTTTTCTCATGTTTTGTTTTTGAAATTTTACAGTTTGAAAACCTGTACCTTGAGACTTTAACATGCGAACAGGCTTTTGTGAGACCTTTCATATGGTCCCCCCTATGCTTCTGATTTTGTGTGAAGAGAGTGGGATGCCACAAATTTACAGGCTCTATTTCTTCACATGGCCAATGAATGCAAAACAGTTGGCTGATACAGGATTTTTACAAACTGACACTTCTTTGAAACTGCTCCATTTGCACCCTAATTTACTGAAACATCAGAGAGGGAGGGAGAAGACAAGTTCACAAATCATAGCAAAGTCTGAAGCCCATGGGTCCTGAGGACAGGCTGGTGCTGCAGCACCAGACAGGAACAGGCTTTGGGAAGAGGGGGACGTCAATACAACCACACAAGCACTTCACGTGTCTCTCCCAGAACCCAGAGAAAGCTCACCAATGAGAAAGTTAATGCACTCTCTTTCCAGAGCAGTTGACCTGCATCTCTGGCTAGCATTTTCTCTAAGGAGAAAACATTCAGAAAATGGAAAATACCATAAAAACATTTTCAAAATTACCCTGTTTTTCCTTATTTTTTTTCTTTTCTTTTTAGTGTTACTCTGGAAATGTCCAAGACACGCTATTTTTTAATTTAATGCTGTGTTTATGCATCTGTTGAAGCACCAACAAAGTACATAGAAAATGTTACCAAGCATAAATGATTTCAGGTTTCCAGAATGCAGTGTCCTGTAATTAGTCTAAAGAACCAGAATTTTCAAATTATACATCTCTGAAAAAGGTTATCAATTTTCTCTCTAGAAGAGGGCTCTTTTAAGGTCCATGGGACAAAAATTAAAGCTTGAGGGTGAAAAACAAAGGTCTAGTTAAAAAAATAAAACCAGCCAAAAGTTTTCTGAAGATATGCTAAGCAAATCAGTTAATTTGGAACCAACATAAACATTTGAATTAGTTCAAATTTACAGATTCATTTGAC